TTTAGAAAAGTAGTTTTTTCTGGAATTTCTAACTGCTTTGTTGTATGACTTTAATAGGTCAGTGTATACTTGCTTATTAATTGTGTTCTTTTTTTTCTCCATTTTCTCTCCGCCCCCCTGCAAGTTCTCTGAACTTGAGACAGTTATGCACACCTTCATCTCCTCACGCTTAGACTACTGTAACTCTTTTTTCACGTGTCTGAGCAGAACCTCCCTGAACCGTCTACAGGTGGTTCAGAACGCCTGTGCTCGGCTTCTGACCAAGTCCTCCAAACACACCCACATCACCCCGCTTCTCCTCCAGCTTCATTGGCTGCCAGTCAACTTCAGGGTTCATTTCAAGATCCTGGTTCTGGTCTATAGGGCCTTACATGGACAAGCACCATCTTACATTGGTGATCTTCTTAGTCCCTACACCCCCAGCAGGTCCCTGAGGTCCAGTGATCATAGCCTACTGGTTGTGCAGCACCAGGCTAAAGGTCAAAGGTGACAGATCATCTGCTGCTGTGGCCCCCAGACTCTGGACCTCTCTCCCCCTGAGCCTGAGATCAGTGGACTCAGTGGACTCCTTCAAAAAGCAGCTGAAGACTCACTTGTTCAAGCTGGCTTTTGTATGACCTTCTTCACCACTCTCTCTTTATTCTGCTCTCCCCACCTATTCCACCTTCCTCAGGATCCACTGATTTCCCTCTTTCCTATTCACTCTCTCTCTTTCTTAACATTTTTTCTTTTAAATTGGGGATGCACCGATACCTCTTTTTTCCAAACCGATACGATACCGATACTTGGATCTGAGTACATGCCGATTACCGATACCGATACTTCCACCACACAAAAAAATGCAATGATTTGGAATACAGATTTTATTTTCTTCTCTGCTTTCAACAGGAAAAGACTGTGAGGAAGGTAAAAAGTAAAAGATATGAATGGAAATCATCACAAAACTAAAATATTAGGTGAACAGAAATGACAAGTTACAGTGAAGCCATTTTCAAACAACTGCATTGGTATCGGTTCCTGGTATCGGTTAAGTTTTACCGATTCCGATACTGGTATTGGTATCGGTACCAGTATCGGTATCAGTGCATCCCTATTTTAAACCCCAATTGCCTATTTTGCTCATTTTAAATATATTTTAAACAGGTTCTAAATGCCTTTTTTATATTTTTACTTTTTTGTTTGTTTTTGTGAAGCGCCTTGTGATTTTTTATCTTTAGAGGTACTATAGAAATGATTTTTTTCTTCTTCTTCTTCTTCTTCTTCTTCTTCTATCTGCTCCTGATTCTAATGGAGCCCAAGTTCTAATAGTCTAAAATTGATGTAAAAGCCATTTCAAACGAGCTGTCGCCATCTTGTTTCACTCTGTTGCATCATCCCACCCACCAGGCATATGGAGTGCCCTGATTGGCCCACAAAGCGGATAAATCTCTGTGATTTGTTCACTAGGCAGATAGAGCACTATGATTGGCCCACCATTATGGACCAATCACAGCTCTTTATGTGTTTGGAACCCCTCTAGAGAGCTGTGATTGGCCAGCCAGAATACTGTTAGGGGCTGCAGAGGTTCCAGTGGAGCATGCCTAGACCAAACTTTGCAAAGCAAGAATTTGGTCTAGTTCACTAGGCTACAGCAGCCAGGCTCCTGCAACAGACCTTGGGAGAGAGTGTCTGTCTGAATGTGATGTCTTCTTGTATGTAAACAAGCACTGAGCAGAACCTTCTGGATTTAGAGGCCGGATAGATAGTGGGTTTATGCCTGTAGATGAAAGGTCATACCGTGGTCAATGTAGATGGTGAAAATTGACCCTTTTGTACGTTACACTCTGATTACAGCATTGTTTGGATAATCAGTTTGTTACATTTTGAATGGCCTGTATTTGATATGGCACCTTCTAGAGTCCTGGAACCCCCCAAGGCACTTTACAACACATTCAGTCATTCACCCATTCACACACACATTCACACACTGGTGGGTATGAGCTATGATGTAGCCACAGCTGCACTGGAGCACACTGACAGAGGCGAGACTACCGAGCACTGGCGCCATCGGTCCCTTCGACCACCACCAGCAGGCAAGGGGGGTTAAGTGTCTTGCCCAAGGACACAACGACAAACTGAGCGAGGCTCGAACCTACAGAGCAAGCACTTTGACTCCTGTGCCACCATCACTCCCATTTTAACTAGGTTACATTGTAAACATACTGAAAGACTGTAAACACTTGAATTTGAACTTTACAATAAAGATGTTTATTGAATGTCATTACTGTTTGATTTTCATAGAATAAATCCACTTGTGGTCTTTTATAAATTAGGCTTTAAAGTATTTTTTATATATAAGGGACATTTCGTCTTCGTCGTCGTCTTCCTCCGCTTATCCGGGTCCGGGTCGCGGGGGCAGCATCCCAATTAGGGAGCTCCAGGCCGTCCTCTCCCCGGCCTTGTCCACCAGCTCCTCCGGCAGGACCCCAAGGCGTTCCCGGACCAGATTGGAGATGTAACCTCTCCAACGTGTCCTGGGTCGACCCGGGGGCCTTCTGCCGGCAGGACATGCCCGAAACACCTCCCCGGGGAGGCGTCCAGGAGGCATCCTGACCAGATGCCCAAACCACCTCAACTGGCTCCTTTCGATCCAGAGGAGCAGCGGTTCTACTCCGAGTCCCTCCCGAATGTCCGAGCTCCTCACCCTATCTCTAAGGCTGAGCCCGGCCACCCTACGGAGGAAACTCATTTCGGCCGCTTGTATCCGCGATCTCGTTCTTTCGGTCATTACCCAAAGCTCATGACCATAGGTGAGGATTGGGACGTAGATCGACCGGTAAATCGAGAGCCTGGCTTTCTGGCTCAGCTCCCTCTTCCCCACGACAGATCGGCTCAGCGTCCGCATCACTGCAGACGCCGAACCAATCCGCCTGTCGATCTCCCGATCCCTCCTACCCTCACTCGTGAACAAGACCCCGAGATACTTAAACTCCTCCACTTGAGGTAGGACCTCTCCCCCGACCCGGAGGTGGCAAGCCACCCTTTTCCGGTCGAGAACCATGGTCTCAGATTTGGAGGTGCTGATCCTCATCCCAGCTGCTTCACATTCGGCCACGAACCTACCCAGCAAGAGCTGAAGGTCAGAGCTGGATGAAGCTAGGAGGACCACATCATCCGCAAAAAGCAGAGACGAGATTCTTCTGCCACCAAACTCGACACACTCCACACCACGGCTGCGTCTAGAAATTCTGTCCATAAAAAACAAATATTTATTAGAAACAATGGTAAACTCAGGGGGCACCACAGACTGCGGTGAGCAAGCTGAAGTCTGGATCAGAGACTGCAAGACAGGAGAAAGGGTTAGGGAGCGGTTTGCGGACAGGGGAAGAGGAAGTGAGGAGGTGGTGCGGTCTCATTGTGGCGAGCAGCTGGGAGACTCAGGGGAGGGTTGAAGGCAGAGGGAGTAAGTCCAAGACGAGAGAGGTGAGGCGTGAGTGGGTCGGTCAAGGAGAAGACGGATACGTGGTTCAGGGGGGTCCTGTGGGAGTCTGGTGTGGAGGTGTTGATGAGGTTGGTTTTCTGTAGTAGAGGAGACGGCAGGTCTGAACACAAAACAGAGCAGGGAAAATGTGGTTTTATAGCAATATTCAAAACTCCCAAGTTCAAAGGGTCTAAGCTGGCTAAATCTACCCAAGGCGAGTAATCATCTGGCATTGTGCTGGTGTCTCCGTCTTCCTTTTAAACCCTGGTCATGATCTCTAGCTGGCCCACTCCCAGGAACCACCCCTCTGTATACAGGACTTACTCACCTCAAGACACAGAAAGAAAGGATAAGATCGTAATTTGACTTAAAAAACTTAAACAGGTTATAATATGACCTGCAATAAAAGTAGAATAAAATGAAGGAAACAAGTTTATAGAAAGAGACAAATATACCTATTATTACAGCACTGTTAACTGTTTTAATGTTCTACCAATATTATTTTTGACATTGTACAACATATTTATCAAAATTGCTTAATATATTGTACAAATAGCTCTACGTTGCCATAACTAACATACTGGTACCAGTAGCAGGTAAACTAGGATTGTACCGTTTTACATCTTGGATGTTTTAAAACAAATGAATGTGAAATTAATTTTAGTTTTTCGTGTTCATGTTAGAACAATCAACCACATCTACTCTTGTCTAAAACATTGACCATTTTTATTCCGCCATAATTATCAACTTACTATAAACATCTCAACCATCTGTTTATTGCTATTTTTGACGGTCATTACATCAGTGTTTAAAAGGGTTTTTGTAAAGTAAAAGAAACAATCATCATCTGTAAAAATTAAGCATTTGCAAACATTAACTTGAATTTGAAGCTCTTTCCGTTTGTAGAATATGTTTGTATACATTTTTTGTAACTTTGATTAAATAAATTGTGGAAAAAAAGATAACGTGACTTTAGGTCACGTGACTTCTGGGTTCAAACAAGCAGTTCTGGTAAGGCAATGGCGACTGGAGGTGAGCTCAAGTCACCATTTTGCTGCAGCCAGGTCTTCTTGGGTCTTGTGTGTTTTTTTTTTTTTTTTTTTTTTTGCTCATCTGAAGCAGAAACAAAAGAGCATAGTTTTACAAATATCTGTTAAGGTGTTTGTGTAAATATTTTATTCATAATTGCAAAGTGAAGAATATTACACCTGTTTTAACTGCTTCACATAATATTTTAAATTTCTTAAATGCATTTCTAGAATGAATAAGAAAACTGTCATAATTTACCAAAATATTGCAGAGTCCCTGTTGTTTAAATATGCCTTGCACATTTCATATCGGTCTTTTGCTCTTTTTTGTTTCTGAAACTGCCTCACTTAATCTTTCTGTAACTGAGATGCTTATAACAAAGCCAAGTTCCTGACTTGTTTTATAGACCCACCCAATATGGCGACGACATTGACGTGTGCCTTTTTTCGGGCGGGAGCCGACCGGAAGAGGAGGAGACTGGGCTCTTCTTTTCTTGTCGTTCATTTCTAGTGTTTAGTCACGGAGGAGAGAAGTAATGGAAGGGCGGTAATGTACCTCAGCGTTGTTTGCCTACCACCATTAAGCCCTAAAGAAGAAGAAGAGATGTCTTCTCATAGTAATTCCAGACCTAATATGCCATGGAGCAACGGAGAGGTGAAAACCTTCCTTTCTTTGGTGGCGGAGGAAAGAATACAGGGCGAACTGGACGGCGCGGCGAGGAACGAGAAAATATTTCTAGAGCTCGCTGAAGCCATGGCCACGCATGGCTTTACCCGAAGCTCCAAACAATGTCGCGATAAACTTAAGAAGTTAAAGTGTGAGTACAGGGCGGTCGCAGTCCACAACGGTCGGAGAGGGGTAGATAAGCGACGGTGGAAATGGTTTAAAGAAATGGACGCCATTTATGGTAAAAGGCCCGCCAGCAGCGTCCGTGAGAGTGTCGTGGATTCTGCGGGTCCGTCTCCAGTTTCAAGTTGCACGTCGGGAAACGGTGAGTTGGGACTTATCTTAGGAAATGCTATTACTAAGATGTGATGTAAATAGTACCAGACTCAATCACACGTGGTTGCACTTTTGTTTACTGTGCAGACAAAAGGCTAGCTCTGCAGAATAGCTTCTTCACACGTACAGTACACGTGCCGTAAGTCTCCTCCCTTTCCGGTCGGCTCACGGGTCCCCGGAAAAACGATCAAATTTATTTTTATTTTTTAAAATTATTTAGTAAATTTACAAACAAACATGGCACCTTGACAATGTTAAGTCCAAAACTTAAATTCAAAAGGAGCAGTTAATATAACATTTGTAAATATCCATTAAAAAGACAACAACAAGAGACAAAAGAACATTAAGAACAAGTAGAGTGCAGCTTTCAATGAGGGTACAGCATATATCATAGAATTAGGAAATCACTTTGGAAGTTCAGCTAACATGTTATATAGATTTTCGCGATATTTGTTGAGGTGTTTCAGGGATTTTAAATATAATTGAAATTCTATTAAAAAAACATTGAAGACGGGATGATTGCTAAATTTGTTTTTTATGGATAAAAAATTTGGCTAAACAGAGGATGATATTATAGCAGAGTTCTTTATCTTTATTATTGAATAGAATTCCAAATATGATCATATCTTTAGTGATGTGAACTGGGAGTGGTGTTTTAGTTTTGATCCATACCTCTAGTTTTTTCCAGAACAATTGTGTTTTCTTACATTCGTAAAATATATGATCTATAGTTTCCATGTGATTTTCGCAAAAAGAGCAGTTGTTGCTATCGATATTAAAACGAGCTCTTTACAATTCTTTTGAAGGATAGATTGCATTCATTATTTTAAAGTGGGTTTCTTTATCTTTTGGTGGTATAGGTCATTTTACGTAGATAGTTCTTATTTTCTCAACAGACATTATATCAAATTTGTAAATTATGTTGTTTTTGTTTGTTTTTCCAGGAAAAAGAGATTCATTTAAGGCTGATCTTATTGTAAGATTGTTGCATTTTCTGTCATTTAACAGAAGACCTTTAATAGATAAGATAGGAAGGGTTGGAATAGAACATTGATGTTTTAGATATTCTCGGGCTTGGATGATAAATTGTTTTGGAAGTGCATTATGTAACCTGTTAAAGTCAAGCTCAGAAGCTTTAAAATTGTATCTTCTGCAGAAATTGTCATAATTCAAGAGCTGACCATCTACATCCATTAAGTGTATAATAGACCATATATTGTTATCTAACCAATCTTTATAGAATAGTGATTTGTTTCGGTGCAATATAAATTGATTGTTCCAAATCATGATTATAGAGTGTGGTGAGTAGTTATGTACATATATCATTTTCAGGGTTTCCCTGACATAGGCGTAGCCGTGGCGGCCCACCACGGCTGAAATCCTACCGCCACGCCTACAAGATCCAAAGTTTTTTTTTTTTTTGGGCTGTTTCCCGAAGAAGCAGCGGGAACTACTATATTGTCGCTTGTGATCACAGCCGGTGGGCAGCAAGGAGCAGGCAGGGCAAGGTGAAGTTACAGCATAAGTTACTGAGTTTAAAATTAGAAAGGTAGCAGTGGATATAATGCTTTTTGGTTTACATGTTTCAATAGCATTAAGATAAGTGTTGACGATCTTGACAGGTTTTCCTCCCCCCACCAGGATAAGCATCACTTATTCATGTAAAATTTATTTATTTTTTTGTGTCTGACTTTATCCGCATCTAATACTGTATTACGGTGTGAGCGCAACAGCGACAACTTAAGATCGATTTGAGAGCAGCGTGAGAGGTCGGGTGTTTCATCTGAACCCTTAAAACCTCCAGCAGGCTACGTTGCACTATTGACGTGATAGCGCTGCGCGCTAACAACTTAGCGACGTGACATGTCTCGGAGAAAGCATAAAAACAAGTTGGACGCTTCTTCTGAAGCGGGAAAACCAGCAGGTTTCATCAGACTCGTAGTTTCTTGTTTTTGCTGGGGACCCCCTGTATTTTACCGCTCCCTCCTGCAGTCTTCCCCTATTAACATTTAAAATGATTCTGTAAATTCCGTGTATCAATAGAAAAAATCTCTGCCTCTGCAGTAAATGTAGTCTCCAAATAATAAATAAGAGGTGCATTCATCTGTGTATCTCCTTTGATCCGCATTAGTGATATTCTCAGCACCAGAACAGTGAAGCAAAGAAACAGATTCCTGAGTTTATGTTAGTAATTTTATTTATTAGGTGCATCTGACCTGTTCTATTTTTATCTGAAATGAGATCGAATCAGTGCTTCTATGGGCTGTCTCCACTCTGCACTAGAAAATTTTGGCTTTATTTAGAGACTTGTCAAAATTTCTCCCCGTTTCAGTAATATTTAATTCAGAACTTGCATTTTGTGGAAGTAAAATAAAAATCTGATTATTGCACAAATCATTCGACAAACATGTTCAGATCTGTACTGGAAGTACGCAGGTTCAGTGTTTCCCCTAGGAATTTTTCCAGCTGTGGTGGTGGTGTTGGGGGGGGGGGGGGGGGGGGGGGGTTTGATGCACTCCACTTTGAACTGCACCAATCCAGCGACTGCTGCATTGTAATAACTAGTATTAAAGGTGAATACACCAATATTTGCACAAGAATAATTTCTGTTTTAAACTCTCAGTGACACACTTTGCAGGGTGGATTTGGCATTTAATTTTTCTTGGCGTCTGGAAAAACATCTTCTTTTGCCCCCTTTATTTGACTTTCTGCCCCCTTTATTTTGGTCCAAGACCATTACTGGGCTGGCCCTAATAAAAACGTTCTACACCCCTGCTTAGTAGACTTAATGAAGTATTTTTAAGCCAGTATAAAAATGACTGAAACACAAATTTACATATTTGGCATTATTGACCAATATTTTTGATTTGATTTATTTGTTAAGAACATCAAGATGCATTACAGTGAACATTATAATAAGCTGGGCGGACACTGTGCGACTTTTTCACTCGTAACACAGCTTCAGCTCAAACTGTACGACTTTAGTGCAGGGCAGATCTCACGAGCCATGTGCTCACTGTACGTCTGGTAGCAACACGTCTGACCTAAAATATGCTAAAAATAGCAGTTTTTACACAACACGTCAGACTTTTTTGTCTTGTTTTGCCTGTTGTCCTTCGGGAGAGCTGCAGGAGGGGACACAGGGATTTATGGGGGTTGGATGAGGAAACGAAATAAAGAAAGTAAATCTGTGTTTTGTGATCAGTTTAATTTGACATGAACACGACAAACACGCTTTCTTGACAATCTTTGTGAGTAAAAAAAACGTGTAGAAATAAAAACAAACAACGTGTGTTATTAGGTAAATAGCGGGTGAGCGGAGTTGATGCAGGATTGCGAATGCGCCGTGAGCAGTTCTGATACTTTTTGGGTCGCAGCCGCTCGCAGCGCCGCTTCAACCCTCATGAGGAACGAGATAAATATTAAACACTCCAGAAGTCCGTGCGAGCTCACGATTGCTGATCGGTAGCTGGTCACGTGGTGTTAATCGCCTCTCGTAACCCCCTGTACACTACACGACGCTCAGCGCAAAACTCGCCCCGATCTTGTGGATTCTCGCACGACTGGAAAATCTGCTCAAAAAAAGTGAAAAAGTCGCACAGTGCACGCCCGGCTTACTGTCTGTGTGTGCGTTGATGCCTGGGCCGAGCTGACGGAGCTCCCGGCTGCAGTTTTGCGTGTAGGGAGGGGCGGGCGCTCTATCTGACTGGCCAATCACAGAGCTTGAAGACAGTCAGTTACCCAATGAGAATTTCATTCAGCACGATTACAGATATTTCCAAGTTTTACACTCGTTTCTTGCTCGTATTCGTCAAAAATGCTTTATCCGTACGCTCATAGCTGTAACCACCCTGCCGTGCCTCCTCCTCCTCCTTGCTACCTGCCGGCTGTGATCACAAGCAACAACACAGTAGTTCCCGCTGCTTCTTCGGGAAACGGCGCAAAAAAAAAACATCAATAAAACTTGGGATGTTGTAGGCGTGGCGGTGGGATTTCAGCCGTGGCGGCCCGCCACGGCTACGCCTATGTAAGGGAAACCCTGCAGGTTTATTGCGGGGGTTGCAGCGCACGGAGACGCGCTTGTAAAGAACACAGGATAATTTGGGTTTTACAGACCTGATAGGAGGCTGATGTTGGGTAGGAAAACGTCCTCGGTTAAATACTGGACGACAGTAAAGTCCGTGTTAAAAGCACGTAAACGCAGATGACCTGAGATGCGGTTCGTTAATGATGAACACAGGCTTCTAAACTTTCTGAACATCTTGTTATTTTGTTTGAACAGATTTTTCTCAACAGTTTCAGCTGATTGTCACTTTATTAATAATAAGCCACAACAGAGCTCAGTAATAAAACATTAGTCTACCCCACCCCCGCTCTGTGCCGCAGCGCAACGGCAAAGCTGTCACTTCAGACCCGCGGATCAAGAGGCAGAGACATAACCCTCCCTTATTTTAATCAACAATAAAATGCAGCAAAGCATATATCTGCAGTTATTCACTGAAGAAAACGTACCTTCTATGAGCTAAATAAAAATATTAAATTGAGTAAATGGATCAGGAAAGCAGGAAGAATAGTTTTTTCTGTTTTTACATTTTTCATTTCGTTTCATGGCGTTTGTTTACAATTTTCTTTCGGGAAAGGCAACTCTGCGCATGCTCAACCTATTTAATCGGATTAAATGCTTGGTGCATTTGTAGGCACGGCATGATCGGATCATTTCAGTGTCCATGTGAACAGATTCGGAAATTCCGATCAACCAAGATTTCAATCGGATTGAGGAAATTAGGTTCATGTAAACGCAGCTACTGAGACACAATTTTCCAGTTTTCTAGGTAGTGGCACGTTACCCCCATGTAGGCCTCTGTTGCCACACGTGTCCAGATATCAGTAGTAAGTGCTACGGTGTCAGTCTCTTGCAGGGATTTCTTCATCTTGTTTTTGAGGTCTTCATATTTTTTCTTCCAACCGCTTTGTGAAGAAGGTCCAAGATGGAAGAGCATAAATCGGCTGGAAAGCAGCAATCATCGCTTTGAAGCCAACATCCTCCACCATGCTCAGCGGGTGCATGTCTGTAACCGGCATATTTAGAATGCGGTCTGTCAGTACGGCTGCTTGCAGCCCTACATTACTTTAAATCAGAAATTGATATGGATTGATCAGAAGTTGCTATGCTTGTTTGCAAGGGTTTCCTATTTCTCCAACCTGGTGAACCCCAAGGTGCTGTTTAACACCATCAGCAGCATCGTCTCTCCTGTCACTCCTACAGCCTCCATCCACTCTGTTACAGACTGTGAGAACTTTCTGTCTTTCTTTGAGTCAATAAGGTTAGATCTAGCATCTCTCCTTCAGCCTTATCGCCGCCTCTCCCGACTCCAACCAGGCCCATCATCCTAGATAGCTTTGCTCCTGTTTCTTTGCCTGAGTTAACCAAACTAGTTAACTCTATGAAGACCTCTGCATGCCACCTCCACATCTTACCCTCATCTTTGTTTAAAAGTGCTTTTCAGTCCATCGGTCCCAGCGTGCTCTCTATAATTAATGCTTCTCTGGTCAGGTCTAGGGCTGAAACGGTTCCTCGAGTACCTCGAATAATTCGAGTACAAAAAATCCTTGAGTCAAATTCTCTGCCTCGAAGCTTCGTTTAATTCATGTTTAATTAATTCATGGCTTTGCAATCGCCCGGGGTCATGTTTCACCCGGACCGAAATAAGTGACGCACATACACACTGCACTGAATGCACACGCGAGTAGCGAACGCAACTTAACTTTCTCTTAAGCCATGGCGGACAACGTGGACCCCGGTGGAGTGCGAAAAAGACACAAAATGCCAAAGGTGTGGGACCATTTTTCACGTCGTAAGGCGGAAAACGTAGTCCAGTATAAATACTGTAAAATGGATTTAGCCTACCACAACACCACATCCTCCATGCTGCAGCACCTGACCAGGAAACATCCACATGTAAACGTCACTTCTGCAAGCGGACTCGGAGCCTCTACAAGATAATGCATTTTAGCCTGTATTTCTATATATTCTGCAGACACTGTGACTTTTTCATTTGTAGCACTTGGTTTCAGCTCACACCATACGTCTGGTAGCAACACGTCAGACTTAAAATGTGCTAAAAAATAGCAGTTTTTACAACACGTCAGACTTTTTACTGTGTTATTGATGCCTGTTGTCCCTCGGGATTGCTGCAGGAGGACACGGGTATTTATGAGTGGCGGAGGAAAATGAAAGAAAGTAAATAAATGTTTTGTGATCAGTATAATTTGACATAATCACGGCAAACATGCTTTCTCGACAATCCTTGTTAGTGTGAGAGAAAAAAGTAGAAATTAAAACGAACGTGTGTTAATAGGTAAACAGCTGGCGAGCCATGTTTGCACATGCGCCGTGAGCGGTTCTGGTGCTGTTTGGGCCGCAGCCGCTCGCATTTGTTTACTGTGAAGTAAAGTTGAAGTGCTGAAGTTTTGAAAACTAATTTTGAATAAAACTTGAAGAATAACTGGCAATTGCGTGCTTATTTGAAGAGGTCTTTCATATTTTATAACATGCTATTTGATACAATGGTTTAAAACGCAAAAGAGTAATTTATTAGAGTACTCGATTAATCGATAAAAGATTCGATAGAGTACTCGATTACAAAAATATTCTATAGCTGCAGCCCTAGTCAGGTCCCTGCTTACTTTAAGAATGCTGTAATCCACCCGCTACAACCCGATACAATGCTTTTGGGCCGATATCAATATCAGAACAGGACAGCCCTACTCTTCACCATCTGTGTTATGTTACTGATTGTGTGTGATTCTGAAGTTGTATACTCTTGTCTTCAGGCCAGTCTCTGAGAGAGTTGATCAGCGAGCGACTAGCTGCTGCTGCTGCAGACATATTCTCAGAGTTTGAAAAAACCATCGCCCGATACGAGAAAGAGATCGATCGCCAACGCAGACTGCTGGAGGTCAACTCAGCCAGAACAGGTATGAAACACCAGCGGGACTCGTGGTGGTACTGAGGACTCGATCTCAGGACAGTCTGGTTGGATCTGTGTGCTTTTCTGAAGCTTTTTGACGGGACTGATTCAAGCCACAGAGGTTTATGGGTGCTGAGCACTCGGCTGCCCGGCCGGGCAGGACAAATTACAAGATTTTGTACATTTAAACAGTTTCATTCCAATATTTGTGAAAGAAAATAAATTATTTTCACAGATCAAATTACAGTTTTTCAAATCAAAATTGTTTTTTATGTTTAACAGATGCCATCAGTGTAGAATAATCTGATGCCATGAAAAACAAGGTGCTTCAATAAATTGTTGGTATTTCCCTATTTAGAGAAATAGATTTGCTCTGTTTCCTTTTACTTTAGTGATTTGTAGACAACGTTAAAAAGACAAAAACTAAAAACAAGAATAGCTTTCAAACATATTAACTCATTCGCTGCCAGCGTTTCTCACCGTTTTTACAGTTTTTTTAAGAGTCAAAGAACGTTGCGCGCTAGCATGAAGTCGATGCCAAAACAACCAGAACAAAGCGGAGACTCACCTCTTACATCAGGAAGAATCCGCGTGTTTCGAGTGTTATCCAATCTTTCATAATCCGTTGTTGAATTGTGATCGGCAGACGCTTTTCCGGTTCGCGCCTCACTTTTTTTTACAGGAACGGCCCAAAACGATCTCCTAACACATGGATGGTCTGCTTCCTGACCGTGTGACGTATGCGGATGAAGATCGGCTTCAGGGCTGAGATGTTTGTTCTCTCAGCGCGGGGGCTCGTTCTGATGCTCAAACAGTAAAAAAATGCAAATGACGACTTTAGTCGTCATTGGCAGTGAACGGTTGGATCTAAAATAACGACTTTAGTCGCCAATGGCAGTGAATGAGTTAAGAAACATGCATAAACATTCTTTAAAGTTACAAGTAAAGAGCTAAAAGAGCCATCCTCATTTTACCATAGTAGTAGTAGTGTAAAAAATCTTTGTTTTTAATTAAATAAAATACAAAAAATTAAAGAATATTAAATATGTAATAAACAAAAAAACAACGTGCAAAAAATTCCCAAAAAGGAAAAAGAAAATAGTGTTGCCCAACCGTACTGCACTTTCTCCTGAAAAATAAATGCTTGTAAACAAAGGCTGACACTATCGCCACATTAGTCAGTGTCTGTATGGTCTGTTTGTCCAGAACTCCCACTGCATTACATCAAGAAAGATGAGGAAGTTCTGACTGACCAGCAGCTCTGGAACCAGGAGAGGACCTCCAGTTTGGACCAGGAACAAGCTGAACCTTTACATGAGGTACCAGAACCTCAGCAGATTAAAGTGGAGCAGGATAACCCAGAACATTTGCCGTTTATAGAACAAGAGGAGCTTTGCATCAGTCAGGATGAAGAGCAGTTTGTAGTGAAGCTGGAGAATGTTACCTCCTTTTCAACTCCTATTGATGAGGAAAGAAACCACGATGGACCAGAACCAAGCAGTGAGCAACGGTTTTCTTCAGTGTTTCCTGAGGCTGAGGTCAGGGATGCCTCCCCTGCAGCGTCATCAGGTGTGTGTTTTCTGTGTTTGTGTGTGTTAGTGATGGAAACCCTGGCTCTTAAAAAAAAAACTAAGAAAAAAACAATGATGAACAAGAGTCTGCTTCTAGATCTGCAGAAGGAGGAAAAAAACAACAACACACAATAATACAACAGGAGCAAACAATCACTGTGTCAACCTGATGAGGAAATATAAAATCAACATTGTTTTACTGAACAATCACAGGATAATAAATCACAGTGCATTTAGTGCCAACCACAGCCTTAAGACGTGTTGAACGTGCCCAAGTTCATACTTATGAGAGCACCATGTGAGCACCTGTGTGTGCACGAGCTTGTTTATGTAAGGTTTCACTATAGGAGCGTCCAATAGAGAGTGTGAGGGGCCACAGGTCTGCCCCCCCCCCCCCCCCCCCCCCCCAAAAAAAAAGATGTGGGGGGGGGGCTCCAAGTCCCAGAGATTCAGGAGCTGTCCCAGAGCACAGAAACCTCAGGGAGACTGCAACCAGTAAAGGTTGGTTTATGCTTGACGCGTCCGCGAGGTTCGCACGGCTCCGCGCGGAAAAGTTGCGTCATTTTAACAACCACGCCCCTCCACCGCGTCTCCGCACGGCCCAAGATTTCCGCAACGCGCACCTCGGAAAATTTCTAACCACGCGGACGGTCGGACACGGAAAAACATGGCGGACCGGCACGGCAGAGGTTCGTAAATACAGACATTTGTATGATTCAGCTCTCAGAGATCACCGTGATCAACATGTTGTTAATAATTCTTGGAGAGAAATAGCTCGCACTGTCGGAAAAGACGAGAACGCTGTTAAAAATGCTGAAATACCATGTTGTAAACAGTGATTTCTACTTCTACTATGGTGTAGTGTTGGATGCATGCTGTAGAGCTCCATGCTGCCCCCTACAGTTTGGGAGAATAATGGCTCACCGCAGAGACGAGCCGCACAAACCATAAACGCTGCGAGTTGTGAAGCGCGTTCCAGCCGTGAGCCGCATCACCGCGCGGAAAGTGAATGCGTCAAGCATAAACCAAGCTTAAAGCCCGTGCCCCCCCTAAGAGGCGCAAAGGGGGGCCACAACCAGCAGCCGGCAGAGTCCCGGGGGATATCAGCGGTAAGCCCACAGGCCCGCCCGCAGCCTCCCACCCCCAAGTCGGCCGAGCCACGTCACAGTTTTTGTATCTAAACCTTCATACTGCGGTTGTGTCAGCGCCAACACAACATGGCTTCCATAATTTAAACAACCATAACTCTTTGACCGTTTGCACAATCAACGTAATTCCAACGGATTCTGAAATTCCATGAATTTATGACTCAGTAATGTTTAGGGTTGCAATGATTATAAATTTTGGTGGTACGATTATAGTCTGAAGTTTCACGTACCACGATTATTTTGCATAAATTGATTTCACATTTGTTTTAACATATAAATCACAATCGCATTCTATAATTTATTGATAAAAGACATAGCATAACAATTCAGGGTTTTAAACCCCTGAATTATCTATTGTTCCTTTTCAGAGATTTTACTTAGAAAAATTCACTCTACTACTGATTTGCAACGTCGATGTTTTATCTCCACAAATAACAAAAACCTGGAGGAATTCTGCTCTGTGGTGGAGTAGCTAATGCTAACAATTAGCTTCTACTAGTCGAGATGTTTTCTGCTGTTTCCTGGATGGTAAAACAGCAACGTCCTTCCCCGTCGTGAGTCAAGATGGGTGAGTCCATGAATGTTGAGTGACGTAGATTTGTCAGGAATTTCTAATCCTTGAATTTTACCATCTTATTTTCTATCAGAAGCTAATGCAGATGTAGGAGACTATTTTCATGTTCAGCCTGCATGAAAAACTCAGTGACTGATTATCAGAAATAATCATTAAAAATCCTTTTTTGTGAACTACACTTTTAATCATATTTGTCTGACAACCTTTTTTGAGTTTCTGCAAAAAGACAAAAAGGTTTAACTGTTGACAGCTGGTCAGGGTTAGCACTGAAGGATGGAGACGCCTTGATGAATTAAGATGCTAAATTCATACTAGTGCAGTTATATCTTTTCAAATTTCATCTGTAAGAATATTATTTGGACATGGATAAATGATATTGTTGCTGTATAATAATATATTGTTGTTGGCCATGACAGACCACTTAATACAAAAGATTAAGTAAAATAAGCAGATGAATAGACTTGTATAAGGAAGTCTAGGAGCCCTTTTTAGAGTTGGTTAATAATTTATCATCATAAGTGGTAATGGATATGTCATATTTGGTGAACATTAAATTTATTTATTTACTGTTAATGTTAATTTTTCATGTTACTACTAGGATTTCTATTTAACGTAATACTATTGGTCAGACTGGTGGGGAGGTAAAAGGTTTAAGAGAAAATAATAAAACGCCTTCTTAACTACTCTTGAACGGAGACAATGGAATGAATTGAAATTAGAAATGGGACACTTGTATCTCTAACCAGGAAAGGACAATAGAAAATTGCTCAAGAGATATGATAAGAGACATATAGACTGATTATAATCATTGATATAATGTTTGCATATATTATTGACTTTGACAGAGAAAATAAACATAATAATGGCGGAAAAAAGAACCACAAAAAGTAAAATCTAAATTCATTTAGCGAATTTCAGTAAACAAAAAATATTTTGAAAATGTAAACATGTGTAAACCACGCCCACTTTTCTGTTAATTAACTTATTGAATGCATCATCCCAGGGCTGTGTCTTGAATACATGAACCAAATTTCATGCAATTCCATGAAGCGATTTTGACAGTATAAATTTTTCCAGTATATAACACCCCCTATAGTTGGGTCTAGGGCTGCAGCTATCGAATATTTTTGTAATCGAGTACTCTATCGAATCTTTTTTTCGATTAATCGAGTACTCTAATAAATTACCCTTTTGTGTTTGTAAACCATTATATCAAATAGCATGTTATAATTATGAAAGACCTCTTAAAATGAGCAAGCAATTGCCAGTTATTCTTCAAGTTTTATTCAAAATTAGTTTTCAAAACTTCAGCACTTCAACTTAACTTCACAGTAAACAAATGCCTGTGCAAAAAATAAGTATGCAACCTGAGCCGATTTTCCCCTCGTGCGAGAATCTGCTAACCTGCAAGCCAGAGGATAACTGTTGAAGTAGCGCTGCGAGCGGCTGCAGCCCAAACAGAACCAGAACCGCTCAAGGCGCATGCGCAAACAGCTCGCCGGCTGTTTCCCTATTAACACACGTCCGTTTTAATTTCTACACTTTTTTCTCACCCAATAACAAGGATTGTCGAAAGCATGTTTGCCGTGGTTTTGTCAAATTATACTGATCACAAAACATTTATTTACTTTCTTTCGTTTTCCTCCGCCACTCATAAATACCCGTGTCCTCCTGCAGAAACCCCGAGGGACAACAAATATCAATAACAACACAATAAAAAGTCCGACGTGTTGTGTAAAACTGCTATTTTTTAGCACATTTTAAGTCCGACGTGTTGCTACCAGATGTACGGTGTGAGCTAAAACTGAGTGCTACAAACGAAAAAGTCGCACAGTGTCTGCAGAATATATAGAAAAACAGGCTAAAAAGCATTATCTTGTAGAGGCTTCGAGTCCGCTTGCAGAAGTGACATTTACAGGTGCTGCAGCATGGAGGATGTGGTGTTGTGGTAGGCTAAATCCATTTTACAGTATTTATACTGGACTACGTTTTCCGCCTTACGACGTGAAAAATGGTCCCACACCTTTGACATTTTGTGTCTTTTTAGAACTCCACCGGGGTCCACGTTGTCCGCCGTGGCTTAAGAGAAAGTTAAGTTACGTTCGCTACTCGCGTGTGCATTCAGCCCAGTGGCCATGTGCGTCACTTATTTCGGTCCGGGTGAAACATGACCCCGGGCGATTTCAAAGCCATGAATTAATTTAATATGAATTAAACGAATCCTCGAGGCAGAGAATTTGACTCGAGGCTTTTTTGTACTCAAATTATTCGAGGTACTCGAGGAATCGTTTCTGCCCTAGTTGGGTCAAGCTAAAAATTGAAGTATACTCCCGAGTAGACTTAAAGCATCATTGGTATGAAAAGCTTTGAAAAATCACAAAAGGTTTTGAAGTTATACTAAAAGCTTTGTTCCCTTAAAAATAATTTTGAATGTGTATTATTTTTTTTACTGCAAAAAATTCTAAAACCACAATGAAATTTGTCAACTATCACTTTGTTGCCTGTTAACTAAAGTAGGTTTCAGCTTTGAAATAATTTTTTACTAATTAGCATGGTTTTAAAAAAAATTGTCCAAAGCTATGCTGAATTAGTTAATTAATTTCTCTATTGAATTGGTGTTGCCTTGTAAACCAACACATTCTCACACCCAAAGCGTCAAAATGACACGTGTGACCAAGCGTCAAAATATGACGATCAGGGTACCCCAGCGCGTCCTCCCGACACGTCCTTTGTGACACCATCATGACACTCATGATATAAAGTGGGAATCACCACTCGACTAAAATAGTGATGAGATGGCAAGTTATACCGTTTGTCCAAAGTGTTGATTAGCTTCTTAAATCCGGGGTTGTTCACTGTGTTGACTGAGCATTGGTCTTTGGCGAGGAAAAACGTTACCGCGTTTGTTATCTCCTTGTGTCTCTGGGAGCTGGTGGGATATTTAGTCACGTTGTACAGGGTAGCGTGAATGGAGGTCTGTGAGGATGAAGCCGGTGTTGTTGAGGGTTTTTCTCTATGCTCCTTCATTGTTTCATCGTATGTTACTTTGTGAGCGGTCCTCAAATTAAATAAATTGGTAGTGTTGCCCTGTGGTGCAGCTACAACACCGTAGCAAAGTTTACACACTATATCGACTTGATTCACGTCTGACTCTGCGAACCCGTAATATTTCCACACCACTGAAGTAGTTTTACCTCGCTTTTCAACCAATGGAATTCTTTTCTATAGCAGCCATTATCCTCTCCTCTCCAAAAAACATCTGCTTAGTTCCTCTGAGGTGACGCTTTACTAGCTTTACTCTTGATGTGACGCGTCACGTGTTCGAAACGCAGATAGGTGCGCTCGATTTGCCACGCGAGGGTAAAGCACGAGGGAGGTGCTAATAATCGGCTCAGTCATTTTTAATGATTGTTGAAAGCCCAGATCGTAATCGTGATTAAAATTCGATTAATTGAGCAGCCCTACTGTCCACTGAGGTGGACGTGTAATAAATTATTTGTAAATTATTAAATGTTACAAAAAATATTGGTTTAAATTTGTTTCATTCACATCTAAAGATGAGTGAAAAAAGTGTTAAAAAATCATGGTTGAAGATTTCATTCATGTATCAAAGATAAAAAAAAAACTTTGTGTGTGGCCTAAAAGCCTTATTAAAGCCACACACTTTTAAAGAAAATTACTTACAAACTTTGGCAATAGGGTGTAAATCTGCACTTCAAGGTTTTGTAAAAATCCATCAATCAATGATGCAGATATACATTTTCTGATGCATTGGTACCTCTATTGGTGAATCTGAACAAAAGTCAATAGTTATGTCTTACATCTCAAAATATATAAGAATGTAAAGTTTTGTCATGTACTCTATGTATGTTGGAGGAACAGACATTTAGGTCATGAGCGAGAATAGTGCTAAGGTGTTGCATGTTGTTTAGCTAGCACAATTTCGAAATTTTTCTATCAAGTTTCATTTTCACAGTCTGTGAATCAGATATGCATAGTTTCAAACCAATTGGGTTGTATTATAGAAGGACTAGTAAAGAAGATGCAACCTTTTTGCAACATAGAAAAACATCTAGTTAGGCAGAATTGAGCATGGCTGATCTAAAAATAAAAAGCTGTTAAATAATCCACTGATCAAGCGACACAAAAGTTTTTGTATGTCAGACTATGGTTTGGGAGTTATAAGCAAAAACCAATTAACCTTTGCAATAGTGCCACCTAGGCATTATAGAGTATAATTTATTTTTTTTTTATCGTCAAGCCGCATTTGAGATTTGCTATCAAGACTTCCCAGTTAAAATTTTCCTGACCTTTCCTGGTTCTTGCGCCCAATTAGAAAATAGCATAGAATAATAACAGAGAAAAATAGGAATATATGTGCAAAAACAGTAGGGTTTCCTGCCTGTCAGCTTGGATCCCTAAAAAAAAAATCTGCATTGAGACTTTGATAATGTATGAAAAGGTTAAATTTGACCATTAAGCTCTTTGTAAACTTGTTCCTTTGTCTCAGGTTCTCTTCTGCAAACAAAAACTTATCGGAGGGTTTCTACACATTTAGATAAATCGGATGATAAAAATAAATTGTGCACTTTATATTAATGCAATAATCAACATTTTCTTTCATCTTTCAGCCTGTCCAGAACCTCCACAGCATTATGTCTGTGAAAAGGAGAAGGTTTTGCCTGACCAGAAGCTCTATAACCAGGAGAGGATCTCCAGTTCATGTCAGCCGGAACCTGAACCTCCATTGATCAAAAAAAGACAGGAAGAACTCCGTATCGGTCAGCATGAAGGGCAGTTCCTTCCGACACAGGAAAATGTAACCTTCATGGTGACTTCTCCTTCTGAAGAAACTGATTGCATTGAACAGGAATCACACTGGAACCAACCCTTGTGTCCGCGTTCTACTGAAGCTGAAAACCAAGATCAAGATATATGCAAGAATGAAAACGGCAATGAAGATTTAACAAAAAATGAAAGTCATCAACAAACCAAAGATCAAAGAAACAGTGTAGAGACCCATAAACCAAAAAAGCAAAAGAAGGCTCACAGAGGCAACAGCCAAGTTTCATGTGGAATCTGTGAAAAATCTTTCAGTCACAATGGTCTTTTAACTCTTCACATGAGATGTCACACAGGTGAGAAACCATTTATATGTGAAACTTGTGGGAAAAGTTTCTCTACAAATTACCACTTGACTAATCACACACGAAGTCACACAGGCGAGAAACCGTTTAAATGTAAATATTGTGGCAAATGTTTCTCTTTGAGGGGTACCTTGATTATTCACATCAGAGTTCACACAGGTGAGAAACCATTTACGTGTAGAGTTTGTGATAAATGTTTCTCTAGGAGTGATAGTTTGACTTCACACATGAGAATTCACACAGGTGAGAAACCATTTTCATGTAGGATTTGTGGTAAATGTTATCGTATTAGAAACCACTTATCCACACACATGAAAACTCACACAGGTGAGAAACCATTTAAATGTAAAATTTGTGGTAAATGCTTCTATAGGAATATTGACTTGACTAAACACAGGAGAACTCACACGGGTGAGAAGCCATTTACATGTGGAACTTGTGGTAAGTGTTTCTATTTGAGTAGTCACTTGACTATACACATGAGAACTCACACACATGAGAAACCGTTTACATGTGAAACTTGCAGTAAATGTTTCTATACGAAGTATATCTTGACTAATCACATGAGAAGTCACACGGGTGAGAAACCATTTACATGTGAAACTTGCGGTAAATGTTTCTCTTTGAGAGGTACCTTGAATACTCACATGAAATTGCACACAAGTGAAAAACCATTTACGTGTGAAACTTGTGGTAAAGGTTTCTCTTTGCAAGGTGGCTTGATTAAACACAAGACGGTTCATTCAGGTGAGAAACCACATGCATGTAAAATTTGTGGTAAATATTTCTCTGTTGGTAGTAAACTGGCTTGCCACATGAGAACTCACACAGGTGAAAAGCCATTCACATGTGAAGTTTGTAGTAAATCTTTCTCTCAAAGATGTTACTTGATTGCTCATATGAGAGTTCACACAGGTGAAAACCCATTTACATGTGGGACTTGTGGCATATGTTGCCCTACGAAGAAACACTTGACTAGACACATAAAAACTCACACAGATGAGCGACCATTTACATGTGAAACATGTGGTAAATGTTTCTCTGAGAAAGGTGCCTTGAACACTCACATTAGAGTTCACACAGGCTTGAAGCCATTTGAATGTGAAATTTGTGGTAAGTGTTTCTCTAAGAGTTATTCTCGGACTACACACATGAGAACTCACACAGGTGAGAAACCATTTACATGTAAAACGTGTGGTAAACGTTTCAGTCTTAAAGGTTCCTTGAGAACTCACACGAGACTTCACACAGGTGAGAAACCATATACATGTAGAATTTGTAGTAAAGGTTGTTCTAGAAGTGATGAGTTGACTCTCCACATGAGTACTCACACAGGTGTGAAACCCTATTCATGTGGAATTTGTGGCAAATGTTTTTCTAAAAGGAATCACGTGGCTTCTCATTTTAAAACACAACACATATGAAAAGGCTTTTCCATTTCTGATCTATTGACCCTTTGCACCGACGTCACCTAATCACGTGGGTCCACCGTGGTGGACGGCAAAAGCATGTAAACAGTGAGCAACACGATTACTAAACAAAGGAAAAAGTAGAGCCTGAAATTGTTTTTGCGATCAAAACAAAAACAAAACTCCTCCAGAATTCCTTCAACTAGTTCATGCCCAGTTCAGTTATCAGAAGAAGTAGCGCATCTAGCGGTATGCTAACTAGCTTACCAACGTTAGCTTACGTTCTCTCTGCAGCTGTTTACCGATAACATGTTGCTGAGTTTGCCTAAATTCACCCCTCTGGATTTATAACTTTGTTGTAAACAGCGTTTCACTTTACACCAAAGCTGATTTTTAAAAAGTCCGGATCCCTACCAGCTTCTGTTGCTGGTGGTGTTACCGAGTTCAGCTGCTGCTCTCACACCAGAATGAGAAGATCTCTGAATGGTGATGCTCATATAAATAAATAACGTAATTTTAACACACGTAGTCATACATCTGAGCTTTAATATTGTTAATAATTGTCTCGCTTTACACAACAGTGGACGGCACGCAGCCTCCGTGGTGAAATACCCACCCATCAGGATTATCAATAACTAGTATAAACACATCACATTTATCCCCGTCTTCCTCGTGAAATAAATTAACGTTAATCTTACCCGTTAAAAACATGTTTGCTCTAAATCTGACGCCTGCTAGTCCGCTTGATTGATCGCTGCAGTTTATCTCCGTCCTCAGTCTCCATCAGTTATTAAAAAGAAAAAAAGTGTTCAGTTTACGTCCTTGTCTGTTAGTGCAGCCGACCACGCAGCAAGCTAAAACCATTTTATTGTCAAATCAACTAAATAAAAGTGATAAAAGGCTACAAACTGGCTTGTTTTGACTACCTTCACTGGAGTTTCTACGGGTGTAAATGGTCTTTTTGCTGTCTATCATGTCGAAGGGGGTGGTCACATGAGTGGCGTGACATCACGTGCAAAGGGTCAATAGGAAGCCTAAGTCACCCATCTACTTGCAGGCCATAAGTCCCTGGAAGAAAGAAAAAATGAATGCAAGTCAACAGGGCTATAAAAACAATTTTTCTAATTCCGTTAGTTTTGCATCATTTTCTTTACAAATAATGTCTGAATTTGAAACTCGCTTTCTGCCAAGTTTTTTTTTAACAGCGACTAAAACTATTTTAGGTGTGCGAAAATATGTCCATGACTACTAATGCACCTCATCAAATTGACGTCATCAAGCCAGACACAGAAAACAGATATGGATAACTTACTCTAAGATCAGCAAACTTTGTAAACTTCCTTCAGGAGAAAAGAACCACCATAAATCTTGCCATGTGGTAAGTAGCAGCTTTGCTGGAGGACAGGTTATTCTGTGGTGATGTCCGATTAGTAATTATAGTAATTACAACCACAGCTTATAAATCGTGACAGGTGTAGTGGAAAAATTAATACTTTTCATAAAGGGACCTGCCATCTGGCAGGCTCGTTCTTCGCCGTAAGATTTGTTACCCCCTTTTTTTTGCTCTTTTTTTTTCACAAATACAACTTGAACTGCAACGGGCATCCCCACAAATTTTACATCAAAACTACTGGCTCTGCCATAGAAAGTGTGTACAAAAAAAATTAGAAAAAATTTCTCATTTTGGGTGGGTGCCCACTGTTGCCCACACTGGTGGGTTAAACCCATCTTTGAATAAGCCAAACAAATTGGGTCGAAATCACCCATAAAGTTTGAGATTGGTCTGATCATGCATGTGAAAGTAATAAAACCAAGGAATTTAATGGTGACAGGTCAATACTTGATGATAAGCTACGTCCATACTGTCAAACTTTTGTAGAATCTATAGGTTCAGTTTTTTCCACCTTGTCTTAAGTTTTTTTTTAATATACTTTGTCTTAAGAGTATATAACAGAAATTCCAAGATGACAGGTGAAAAGGGCTAGGTAAGGTTGGCGTACCTTAACATGTGCAAAAAACCCAAAATGGCTGATTTCCTGTGGAGTATGTAGCATGGCTCCAAAATACTTTTTTGTAGGTTCTGACCCTAAATAAATTTACCAAATTTCACAATCCTCAGTCAAAGCATGGCACGGGGCTGACATTTTTAATGGACCTAGGGGGCACTATTGCAGAAAATAAGCCACGACCACCAGATTTTATGGTTAATTTCTATTAAGGATTGGATTTGTATCAATCACTTGTAATTTTATACCAATAACATCAGAATTGATGGAATGGCGGGCAAACGTAATTCCATGGTGGGATGTCAAATTTTGCCATTTCCCTAAAGTGCCCCTGCCAATGTGGGACCCCAAGTGACCCCAACATGTCTACTGCTATTTGCCAGAGATTTGTGTCGATTAGATGAAAGAGGTCAAATTAGGAGCTTTGGCTGTAAAGCACAGTGTGGCGAGAGGTCAATGTTTGAGGCTTAGCCACACCCACACCATTAGACTTTAGAAAAATCTGTCGGTTCAGTTTTTTCCAGTATGACAGAAGTTAGAAGGCGATAGGTGAAGTGCGTGGGGGGTTAGCGTACCTTTAACGTGTGCAAAAAAACACAAAATGGTGTACTTAGATTAAAATGGCAGACTTCCTGTAGGACATAGAACATGTGTCCAAGAAACTTTTTTTTTGTAGGTCCTCAGACTTTACATAAGTGTACCATATTTCACAACCCTAAGTCAAAGCATGGCTTGGGGCTGGCAGTTTTAATGATACTAAGGGGCGCCATTTAAAAAAAAATTGACACACCCACCAGATTTTCAGGTTAATATTTATGGACGTCTGGATTTGTATCAGTCACCTGAAATTTTGGACCGATAACAACGAATTGAAGATAGATTTCTGGCATCATCGGTTTGTTGCGGTAAATTAAGTCATAATGCTGTTGTACTACAGTGTGCTCGTCTCTTAAGTCATGACTGGTGGTACTTGGCTCTGCAAGAGACGTGTGTGTATGTATATATAGATATATATAGATGTAGATAGATACATACATAGGTAAAGTTATGTGTGTATGTATGTATGTATAAAGTATACCCAATACATTCAATCGTCCCATTATCAGTGAAAGCTATTATTACACATAAAGAAAAAAACATGCCCAGACATTATGTTTTTAATGTTTTTTATTGTCAACTATTTTTTTTTTTTATGTTTTGAATGAGTGATGTATGGTGGTGCTGTCTAATGCAAATTTCTCCCAAAGGAAACCAATAAAGAAATTTCACTTTGACTTTTCATCGGTCTTTGTCATCTGTTACTGCATTTCTTTGCCTTTTTCAATTAAACGCCTTGCACGGTTGAGTTTCCTCTTCTGCAGAATTCAGTATTACTGTAATAGTTAATGTTGGTGTGGACATTAACATGAGTGACCAGCTTTAAGGTTATTTTGGAAACGATGATAACATTAAACATTTACATTGTATAAATACACCGATTGGCACTAACAATGACAAATGTGACCGTAAATGCTGCTGATTTACCACAAGAGCATCTTTAGGAAAAAATGGGAGCAATCATGCTTTTACACCTTTTAAGCAGGCTTAGGAACTACGACAAAATCAAGGCAAAGAACGCTGAATACCACTAAATTAGCGTGCAGATATTACAACTTCTTTACCAGCAAAGATTTTACTGTCCATAGCCACGTTCACATCTGGGCTGGCACGGATCGAACCCAGAAGGGTAAGTTTATGGCCATTACACACTAGCAGCAGCTCCAATCCGCCTGGAACGGGTTGGGAGTATCTGACATCTTTTCAGCACTCTTCTCGAGGAGGTCTGCCTGGAGCCAAACTGGGCTGACACACCTACTGCTGACTAATTGGCTGGCTCAAAAGCACACCAATCATCAGGAGGAGCCTCCAACTGGGGGGTTGAATCAGCCCGCGGAGGCTTCCTGCATGCACAATTCATTATTCTGGATGGTGCCTTTCTCTTCCTGGCACTCGCAGAGTACAGACGCTTCTCTTTTTGCTCCCTTATCTTTTTTTCCCAAGGCTCTTTGTCCTGTCTGCCCACAGAGCGCTTCTCTGCATTTCTTCTGAAAAACCCTATTTTTAACTATGGATTTGAGGAATTGGTCATTCAACGCAATTGATAAGATTGTTTCAACAAAGAACGGAGCAGGGGGTTCCCTCATGCCCGCAGTGGACACACACAGCGGGGTATTTGCTGGATTCCTGGAGGGAGTGGAAGATCGCATGCCTCTCCCAGCTGTCCAATGAGGACGTCGAAGATGTGTGGATATTTGGCCTGATGATCACTGGATTTCTTCTGATTGGAGTGGAAGGATATCTGGTTTTCTGGAAATTTGGGAAGACGGGAGCAATAGGAGGGCGACCCGCACCCAAGGAAAGCACCGTCTGTGTGGAGACCTCACAGACTGGGACGTTACCCGAGGTGAATCGTAAGCTGGACAATGTTCTAGCTGCGATACCGGTATTAGTGCGCAAAATGGATGTCATCTCGCCAGAGCAGCCTCGAGATGCTAACAACAAACCCCCGCAAAGGAATGCAGACAGATGCTGTGGCTACAGTGGCAGAGCACTGTACATGGCTGCTCTCGCTGGGGAAACAGGATCCCAGCGCCCCCCCCCCCCCCCCCCCCCCCGCCTTTCTATTGGTGTATCTATGTTGTGTCGTGTGAAGTCTGTTGCTTATCTGTCTGAGGTGTTTTTTTTGCAGAGCAAAGCTGCCCTCCTGGTGGGTGAGTAGCTATGAAGTGCCTTATTTTCACTCTGTATGTGTGCACATTTTTACACTGATTTTACGTCAGTATTCTGGTCGGTTCTGTTGTTGAAGCACGTTTCTCCTACCGCTCCACAGTGAGCAAACGGCAAAAACGCTCGCGCTCACTACAAGCTCAGTCCCGTGGTGCGCTCTGCTCACACACAACAGAACTGCAGCCTCCCTGCGTGTTCGTGCAAATCAACACTTGATACTGGAGCCAATTCAGTTGTTGAAGTTATGTGTACCAACCCTGCTTGTGGGGTGGCGGTGGCACAGGAGTTAAGTGCTCGCCCCGTAATCGGAAGGTCGCAGGTTCGAGACCCGCTCAGTCTGTCGCTGTCGTTGTGTCCTTGGGCAGGACACTTAACCCACGTTGCCTGCTGGTGGTGGTCGGAGGGACCGGTGGCGCCAGTGCTCGGCAGCCTCGCCTCTGTCAGTGCGCCCCAGGGCAGCTGTGGCTACACTGTAGCTCATCCCCACCAGTGTGTGAATGTGTGTGTGAATGGGTGAATGACTGATTGTGTTGTAAAGCGCCTTGAGGGGTTCCGGGACTCTAGAAGGCGCTATGCCAAATACAGGCCATTTACTTATGGATCACCTTAGAGACGGCTTGTCGATGTGAACATTTATTTATTAAACTATTACAAAAAGCAAAAAAAGTTGTAGATGAAGCTGAAGTTGGTTTCCTATTTTAGTTTCAGAGTCAGAGAGGGCAATTCCAACAAATGTTTCCACTTCCTGAGGATGTTTCCTAGCCTGGCCTGCCAGACAGACATTCAAGTCATTTAGAACAGAGGTAAATGGCCTGTATTTGATATAGCGCCTTCTAGAGTCCTGGAACCCCTCAAGGCGCTTTACAACACAATATGTCATTCAGGTTAAAGATGCAGGAAGTGGAAACCTTTGTTGGAATTAACCTTTCCACATTAGAAACTAGAAAGGCGTCCAATTCAGTTTTGTATAAAACAAACAACAATAAATGAAAAAAGTAAAACAGGAAGGATGAATAAATAAAAGATTTAGCCAAATTAGTGAGAAAAAAAATCTAATTTAAAAATTGTTGCTATGCTTGCGACCCTCTAAACCAGGACTATACAATTCTGGGCCTCGAGGGCCGGTATCCAGCACGTTTTAGTTTGAAACTACCTCACCACGCGCTTAGCTTAATCTGCAATTGTGATGTGGACATGAGCCACCAGGGAGCTGCAGGCAATGTATAAATTAGCCCCGGTGGTGTATGCTTATGTGCTTAAAGCCAATTTAATATTACACTCTTGAAAACAGAACCACCAGTTGCAATATAAAATATTAATTTTTTTTAAATTAATTTTGTATTGAAAAAATTCAGCCTGACCAAACTTGTCAACTACTTGTGGCTATCAGCTTGTATAAACACACATTTTATGTAAGGAAGGCAAGTTCAACTTTTGAGTTTTACTGTTTAAAATGAAAATACACAATGCATTTATTCAAGATGTTTCTAGCCTGGGAGTGGGGAAATTACAGCGTGGAAAGCAAGAGAGTTGCAAAAGCCTGCAAAAAAAAAAAAAAAAGCCGCGTATTTGATACTCATATTTTTTGACAAGGTTGGCAGTTCTGGCCATACAGACAGCACCAGTTCATCCTAGATGCTATTTTCTGCTTCATTTCACCTAAATTCCCTAATCTATAGTACTGATTGTTGCACTGGCTCGTGTTGGACATTATTTTTCTACTGCAATTATCATTGATATTAAAAAAATAAAGTCACTGATATGATCTGTCCTTAATAAATAACTTTATCACCAACCACACAGACCGATAAGGTTTGGATTAAAAGTCGTATCATCCAGTAGCATGTATTCGCCACTAGGGGGCACCCGTATGCAAACCAAAAGCTACAGAGGACATTATTCAAACCGAGTTATTGTAATCTCCTGTTTCTTTTGACTAGAGATGGGAATTGTGGCACCAACAAGTCAACTCCATGCTGTGATATTGTTCTGCTCAGCAACTTAACCAGGTTCACTGTGGTTGAAATCACCTGGTTTAGTTGCTGAACTGAAGACAAACACGGCATGGAGTTGACTTGTTGATGCCACAAGTCCCCATCTCTGTTTTTTTTTTTTACAAATAAAAAATTACCGTCATCGCGTGTCAGTTTTCTGCTTATATTTAGATAAAATCTAAACTAATCATTTATTCATTGGAACTGACCTGTTCTTGACGTATCGGACATCTTTTCATGATCAGAAATCCTCTTCTAATTGGAGACCATCCGTCCACATCACAAAAGGTTCCTTCATGAACACACGTTGCATCATGATATATTGTCCTTACCCTATTGGAAAAAATCAGTAGGTTAATCTGTGATGAAACATGATTTTAAAAAAAAAAAGGTTTTTAGGTTTGAAAAAGGGGCAACCAGCTGGTGGCGATCTAACATAGGAGCTAGCTTTGGACCTGTGCTCTTGCACGTTGTGCTCCTGTGACCAGATTCACACTCCCGTTAGTCACCTGTTCAAACATGGTCACAGTCGTAAGTTCTGCTTATACTGTACTACATAGCCTTTGGTTCTGTTTATAGACTCAAAACATTAGAAACCCGCATAAATGTCAGCATTTTTGTGTAAATACCATAAAAGAGATGATCATTAGAGCACCCAGACACTTAAAAAGTATCCTCATTTAATGTTAAACACCAAAATCCAACAAAAACAACACAGACTTTTGAATTGTTCAGATACATTTACTTTTTGCAAGATTATTCAAGTTCGGGCCTCGAGGGCCGGCATCCAGCACGTTTTACTGGTTTCTCTGGTCCAACACAGTAGATTCAGCGGTTGAGTCACCTGTGCCGCCGCTCATCAGGCTCTGCAGACGCCTGTTAATCACCTGCTGATGGAAATCAGGTGTGTTGAAGCAGGATTAAAACGAAAACGTACTGGATACCGGCTCTCGAGGCCCAGAATTGAATAGCGCTGACTTAATGTGTACCTCAGTCGGTCAACACTGGTCATGTGCTTTGGCCTCCAAAAAAAGATATGAGGTCACAAAGAATGGATGTCCCATTGTCTCTATTGGGACCACTGAGAGGGTGAAACTGGTCCTGTTCTTGCTGCCTTGGGGCGCTGCCCAAGTTAGGCTGGGTGTCAGGCAAAGAAACTGTTTCTGGCCAATCTACCAACAATGCCATTGTGTCTGCATCAGGAAGACCAGCAGCAGGTTCAGGAGCAGCAGCTCTGGCATTGATGGGAACCCCAAAAATGCCTCACATAGCTGTGGAATCTCTGCCTTGCTGTTGGAGACAACCTCTTGACAAAGATTGGTATTGGGTTCGTTCACGTGTCTCTTTCCTTGGACTTGTTGCCACAGCAGAACCCACACAGGTTTGAGATGTCATCAAACTGAGTTTCTGTATCAGGAACTGCTTATAATTTAGTTTCATGTATTTATTTGATACATTTATGTTTCTTCAGATACTTTGTTGCTCATAGGAAATAAATAATGTAAGACTTCACGCAAAG